AAGTTTTAAGCATCTACGTTATATGTTGTCACTGCAAAAAAAAAAGCATCTACGTTATAGTAACTCACTTTTTCTTGATAAAACTAGTCATGGAATTTCTTTACATTTGTCTAAGAAGACCGATACTCACATTTTTTCGAAAGGACAAGATCACATTAATACTAATGATGCGTCTCTCTTTCAATACTAAGGTATTCGTTTTATAATCCGCAAATAAGCGTGGAAAGGTAATTAATACTGTATTATTATCCACAGTGCCGTTTTGAACAAATTTGAGATCATGTGCTACTAATCTACAATAGATTTTATAATATATAATTTTAAAAAATATTTATATGGTGAACTAATAAAAATATTTACCATATATAGAAGTGAAAGGTGAGTAAACAATTTAATAATTTTCATGAACAATGATTATTATTTAACATTAGACACTTCAACTATCAAAAATATACAAAAAAACTATTAAAAACTAAATATATACGTTATAAATCATTTAAAAATTATAAAAATAAAATTAATTATGAAAAAAAAGCTTCTGTAAAAACATTCTATTATGTTGACACTTAATCTATATGTTATTCCTAAAATTTGTTTGATTTTTTCCATAATTTTTTTAAAAGCAAATGTTTTAAAAAATATAATAAGCCTCAAATCATATTGGGTCCTGTATTGTATCTCAGATTTTGTTAAATGCCGGCCCTGATTATCCACAATTTAATTACTTTTCCAATCTGTTTCATTTAATTGTTTTTTCTCAGTCATAAAATTATACTCCCTCTGTTCAGAATTATTTGATGTTTTAGAAGGTTTTTTTTGTTCAGAATTATTTGATGTTCTTACTTTTCAATGCAAAATTTAATGAATTTTTATACTTTTTGACCTTTTATATTCTACAGATTGTTTTCTTATTGGCTGAATGATATTTAAATGAATTATAAATAATATTTTTAGTATAAGAAAAATAAAAATTAAATGAATCCTTAAACTGTGTGCAAAAACTTTAAACATCAAATAATTCTGAACAGAAGAAGTATTAGAAATCTGAAGAAAAAAAATCTCTCACATAGTTTTTGATTTTCTAACCAATAAATCAGCTGTACAATTGAAAGTTTAAGAACTTAAAACATTTTAAATATGCGTGAAAAAACTAAAACATCTAATCATAATCTATTTATTAAAATATTTAATTTCGCTTTATAGAACTCATCCATCAGCTTAATTATCAGTTATCACTAATAATCCCATTTCCCAAAAATGTTTTAATCCCTTTTTAGAGGAGATTGAATCGTTATTTCGGCACTTACTAGAAATTGAATTACAAACCTATCTTCGTCATTCGTTGGAAGAGACTATATATCAAAATTCTAAAATTGTTAAAAACACATACATACACACATATACATATTTATTTCGTAGTGGTGTTAAAGCTAATCGACAAATTTGTTTTGTGAACTTTTTTCTGAAAGTATTTTGTTTTATAAATTATCTTAACAACCTTTGTTTAATGAACTTTTTGAAATTAAATAGAAATCTGAACAAATATGAATTCAGATATTGATATCAATAGAAAATGTGAGGTTAAAAAATGGTGGTAAGATTACCAATGTTTATAGCAATATATTTAATTGCATGACTTACAAGTTTATCGAAGCAACAGCTAAACTTAAGTTAAATACGTAAATTGTGAATTTACACAAAGTTCATTTTTAAAAAAAAATAGTCAGTTGAAAAAATTAGGGTTTAAGTGTGCATTCTTAACACGGTGAGCTCTTCACGGTATGTGGAGCCCAGCTCAGCGCAGGGTCCAATAAACTTTTCCAAATCTGAAGCATATTCCACAGAATGTGCCTTTTCAAGTTTTCCATTAGTTATTTTTTTTTTCTTTTTTTTTCTTAGAATGGAACGAAGAAACAAAAAGAATAAATTATCAATTGACTACTTTAATTCTTTGATGATTAGAGTT